AAAAAAAAAAAAAGAAAAGAAAAGTGAAGGTAAAACACTTCTAGGGGATTCTAGGAGCTGAATGGTGTCTACCGTCCTGAAATTTATATTCTGAAATCCTAACTTCCAATACCTCAGAATGGGACTGCATTTAGAGACAGGGTCTTGAAAGAAGTGATTAATTTAAGATGAGGCCACTACTGCAATCTGACTGGTGTTCTTATATGAAAAGGAAATTTGGACACACAGACATCAAACGTGCTTGTGTTCAGAGGAAGGGCAGTGTGAAGGGGGCAATCGATAAGCCAAGGAGAGAGGCCTCAAGAGAAATCAACTCTGCCAACATCTTGATCTTGGACTTCCAGCTTCCAGAACTGTGAGAAAAATTAATTTCTGTTGCATAAGCCCCCAAGCCTGTGTTATTTTGTGGAATGCTGAGTAAACTCATATAGGGACTTATCCATTCCCGCCCCCTCTCTTCCACCGTACTGCCCAACACGCATTTTCTGAGCTCCTATTCTGCACACAGAACTGTGGGCCATGGAGAAACGTAGACAGTCTGCTTCCCACCCTCCCAGAACCTACCTCACAGGAGGTGGGGACTCCTCCAGAAGTTTCCCACTAGATCCCATGAACATATGCCTGGAAGTCCTTCTCGTCCTTGAAGGACTTTAAAGGACTCACCTTTGGAGCTGCTCCTCCCCTGAAATCCTGCCCCTTTTCTCCTCCTCTCTTCCTCATAACATCTGCCCCTCTCCCGTTTTGTGACCTGCACCCATCCTTCTCTTTCCCAGTTTCCATCTTCCCTGCCCTTCAAGGACACCTTTATGGGGGAAGGGGGCATTTGAGCTGGGGCTGTGTCAGGAGCGTGACCTCCTTGTATGGTCAAGTTCTGCCAGCACGTGTCCAGCCCATCTGGGAGACTGTGAACTTTGCTGGGAGACATACCTCATCTTTTGTGTCTCAGCACCTCCCACAGTGACCTGCATGTCGCAGGTGCTTGTTGAAACAGGAATTGCAGGGACAAAATCCAGCCGATGGTCTCACCCCTGTCACTTCCCTGAGTAACCACACACTTGCCTAATCTTAGACACAACAGCTCCTGTCCTAACATAAGGTGTACAACAGAAGACAAAACATTTTTGTCTTAGCGACTTACAAGCCGTATGGAATGGGATTCCAAACTTCCCTTGGATGTTGTTCACCAGCACGATCTGGCCTGTTCTCCGGGAGACCATGTTGGGAAGCAGGGCTGGAAGACACGGGATGACAAATCGCAGTTCCAGATCTGAGCCCCAGTAGTTAGATCCTCCACACCCCCCATCACACATGGCTGTTACCTGCGTGGCAGGGCAGAGATGGAATGGGCCCCTGCTGTCACTTATCCAGTGTGCCCAAAGAATGGGCTGGTGAATGGTAGGGTGATTTTAAATACTCCCCCCACCCCCAAAGTGCATTAAGTGACATGGATTCAATAGCAAGACATGGGTATTCTTGTTCCAGTTCTCCTATTGCCTCCAGAAGGAAGTCTCCTGTTGGTTCCTACGTCTTTAACACCTCTCTTGTGCACCCCAACCTTTCAACAAAGAGGGAGAAGCCTCTGGGGTTCACAGGCCATCTTGTAAGGACTTCCTTTTTTAGTTTGCAGGCTGTCTTCCATTTATTGAAAGTGAAAGGGGTTTTAAATTTATAAAGACTTCCTTCTAAAGTGAATTTAATTTAAAAGCCAGCAAATTTGGAGAGAGATAAGAAGCAAGTAATAGTACAGAGGGACTGGGGCTGGTACTCAAGGACTGTCCTCTGTGTTAGATGTGGGCAGCCTGAGGCCCAGAGCTCGCCATTAGAATTAGGGCCCTCACCAAGTTAGAGTACAGGCAGAGGGAGACCAGTCCTGGCCCTTTCCGCTCCACTTCATCCCTTCCTCTCTTTATGGCAGTGAATAGTCCTTGCTGAACTTTTCTGAGATGACACAACTTTGCTGTCCTGGATGGTGTGTCCTAAGGGACTGACTGGACTGGGAAAAACTGCTATCTCTGGGCCACAATTCTAGACACTCTGGGAAGGCTTCTTTCTGCCCCCAAAATGCTTCTTGCTTTCATTGTAGTCCTCAGAATCCCACCCTAGAGGCTCCCAGGGATCTGGCTCTAGAGTACCCTTGCCTTCTCAGGGCTCCCCACTCCCTAAATGGAGAGGTTCTCTATGTTGATAGTCTCTCTTGAGTTTATGCTTTGATAAACTTTTAGCTTTTTGAAGGGGAGGAGCTGCCACTTTGGTTCTACTCGACAGGCATCTGTAGCCCCAACCTCCCAGGCTTCAGACCTGCATTTCAACCTGGTGGTGAGAATTCTCCACCTGGTGTCCCCTAGGCTCCTCAGACAGGTACACATAGGAAGCACCATTTGACCTTTTAAAGGGAGACATCCTCCTGCTTTCTCTGTTTCTGTGAAGGGTTGAAAGAATTCTGGGTCTTGGCTGGGTGTGGTGGTTCCCACCTGTAATCCTAGCACTGTGGGAGGCTGAGGCAGGTGGATTGCTTGAGCTCAGGAGTTTGAGACCCAGTCTCTACTAAAAATAGAAAAGCTGAAGCAAGAGCCCAAGAGTTAGAAATTGCTGTGAGCTATGATGCCACGCCATTCTACCCAGGGTAACAGCTTGAGACTCTGTCTCAAAAAGAAAAGGAAGGATGACTATTGGGTCTCTTGTAGTTTGGGGGTAACCCCTTTTTCTTCATTTCTGAGGACAGAGTCTCTTTTGACCAACTGTCATGGTTATCAGCAGATCAGCTACAAGTTTGATAGAGCAAAATGTGTGTAAAGGATGAAGACAATGACCCAGAGAGGTCGAACTGGATGGAAGCACTGGAGATAAATAAGAAGCGAGTGATAAAGGGCAGGGCTTGGGTGGGAAGAGGGGGTTCCACAGAGAGGGGAGTCCAAATCTACCATTAAGATACTTCCTAAATCCCTTGTCTTTCATCACCATGTACAGTTAGAATGCTAAAACCTCTCACCAAATAAGCAGGGGTTTTAATGAGGGGCTTGGGGGATTCTATCCAGAATAGGATAACTCCCCAATCTACATAACAGAGCCCTCCCTGGCACGGGGTGGCCCAGATACCCATGGGAAAGTCAAACTCACTAGACCTTTGGTCAGTGTGATGGGCCCAAAGTAATTGGTGTCCATGATCTTTTTGTCCAGCTCCAGAGAAATCTTATGGGCAGGCCCCTTCACCTTCATGCTGGCATTGTTGATGAGGATGTCCACACAGCCATAGCAATCCAGGACTTCTTTTGCCACATCCGGGACACAACTGATGTCTGAGAAGTCCAATAGAACCAGCTTTGGGGTGAACGTCTGTTGGACCAATGAGACAATCAGGGCATGTGTGGGATTTCCTCCCTCTTGCAAACCTTGGGGAACCTCTAATCTAAGAGCCAGCCCTTTTGAAATTCAAAGCTCAGGGTATGACTACCAAACCAAACAAACAAACAAACAAAAAATGTAGAGGAAGAAGCAGAAGTGGGATGAAGATTGATGGAGAGTATATTCTTGAGGACCAGGGCAACAATACAAGTCTAAACATAAAATGCAATAATAAAGTCTAAACTTTTTGCCAAGATTTCAGAACTGATAAATCCAAATGAGCCTCCCCTTTGGAGGTCACATACTGATTTCAGTGGTGACATCATCACTTTTAACATTTCTGAGCTCCTGTTTGGAAATTGCTTTCCAAACTGGCTTATAAGCTGCAAGAAAATCTGTCATAGTGGTTTGGAGCAAAAATGTAGTACATTTTCTTTTTGACCAAAGCCATACAGTCAGCATGGTATTTTTGGAGCACCTGCTCTGTCCGAGATACCATGTTCAGCCCTCAATACTTGCTGTTATCAAGAATCTGTTTGGGGCAGTGCCTGTGGCTCAGTGAGTAAGGCGCCCACCCCATCTACTGAGGGTGGTGGGTTCAAACCCAGCCCCAGCTTAACTGCAACAACAACAATAACAACAACAACAAAATATCCAGGCCTTGTAGCAGGCACCTGCAGTCCCAGCTACTTGGGAGGCTGAGGCAAGAGAATTGCCCAAGCCCAAAGAGTTGGAGATTGCTGTGAGTTGGGATGCCACAGCACTCTACCAAGGGTTGATAAGTGAAACTCTGTCTCAAAAAAAAGAATCTGTTGGTTCAGAACTGGGGATGGGGTAGGAAGTTGATGATACCATGAGATAAATGCAATCCCAGGGTTTGGCAAATAGTAGTCCTGAGATGTGCCTTTGAAGAAAGAGTTCCCTGGCTAAATGTGTTTGGGAAACATAAACTAGTCTCCAAGTTCTTTTTGGAGGTACACAGTGCACATTAGCATATCAAAGGCTCCAAAAAGTCCTGCTGTAAAGAAATCAAACAAGTTTGGATTAACACAATTGACTGCAAAACTTCATTTTTACCCAACACCTAATAATGTCCCAAGAAACCCATTTTGGAGAAATTGGTATTGTGCTATTTGCCTATTAGATTCATCTCCTCAAATACTATATTTAGCTCTAAATTACTTTTGGCTGTTTCCAAACCCTAAATCCAACCTCAAGGGTAAAGATTTAAAAAAATATCCTGGAAGGAGCTCTGAAGGCGATTCCTTGAAACAATGCTCCAGAAGTGGTTGAGAACTGCGGCTTCGTTGAAATAAGTGTTCACTTCCTAGGAGACTTCTTAGGAAGGGATTTCATTTCCTTGATTTATGTGAAGTGTTTATCTAACACTTGAACATTTGAGAGGTTTTTTTTTTTTTTTTTAAAATAATCAACTGTGTTTATAATCACAACCCATACCTGTGACATTCCCTGTCTTCTTATATAGAATCAGAAGAAAGGTCACTAGCCAGAGAACAAATTTTGTCATGTGAACAGTTAAAACAACTCAACTCCTATGTCTATAGACATACAGACATGACTATGTCAAGTTCAGAGGGCTCACTGCTTCACATTCCCCAAAGCAATCACCACATTTCCTCCACATGGCCCAAGAGCCAGTCTTTTTTTTTTTTTTTAGTGAGACAGAGTCTCACTTTGTCACCCTCTGTAGAGTGATATTCTGTCATAGCTCACAGCAACCTCAAACTCTTGCGCTCAAGTGATTATCTTGTCTCAGCCTCCTGAGTAGCTGGGACTACAGGTGCCCACCACAACGCCCTGCTATTTTTAGAGACAGGGTATCACTCTTGGTCAGGCTGGTCTCTAACCTGTGGGCTCAGGCAATTCACCTGCCTTGGTCTCCCAGAGTGCTAGGATTACAGGCGTGAGCCTCTGTGCCCGTCCCCAAGAGCCAGTGTTGAACCAACAGTAGAGGCTAATGGAGTTGCCCAATCCGATTGGTGGAAGGCCTTACCTTGCTGGGGTCAGCCGTGCTGATCAAGTTGTCATATAGGACCTCTAGCCTCTCCCAGTTCTTTCCACACAGCACCAGCCTTGCCCCACCGGTGTGGAAAACCCGAGCACACTCTGTGGGAAAGAAGGAAGCAAGGCAGGGCACACTGTGTGGGTGTAGCCACTGACAGTGAGCCTCCCTCTCTTAGGAACTCAAGAACTCAAAGAATTAGAAAGTCTTAGCAAAGCAAGGTCCTTTAGAAGTTGTTTTATTCAGCCACCTCCCTGCGCTGAAAGTTTTTGACATTTCCAGCCTCAGCTTGGTTACTTCCTGTGAAGGGCAGCTTATGGTGGGGTGGAACAGAACTTCCTTTGTTTGAAAGTTCTGATTATTGGAAATTCTTCCTTATACTGTACAGAAAGATGACCCTGTCCACCTAGCCCCTCAGGACTACAGCCCTAAAGATATCTCAATCTGAAGACATTAGAAACAGCCACCATGTTTTTCAGACTGCATGTCACCGATTTCCTTCACATTTTCTCCAGGGATAGATAGCCCAGCTAGAGTTCTTTTAAATATATATGTGTGTATGTATACATATATATACACCCACACACACATATATGAACATACATGTCCATACGTGTGTATATATATACACACACGTAATACACATACATGACATATGTATATATACACACACATAGATAAATATATTATTACATACTTATATATGCTTTATAAACACACTATATGTGTTGTAATATATGCACACACATACTTTCTGTTTAATTAATTTTACTTGATCTACTTGGTTAAGTACATTCCTAGGTATTTTTTTGCATTATATATGCAAATGGTATATATAAATGGTATTGAGTTCTTGACTTGATTCTTAACATTTATAGTATATAGAAATGCTACTGATCTGTGTCATTGATGACACAAACAAATGGAGAAACATCTCATGCTCATGGATTGGAAAAATCAATATTGTTAAAATATCTATACTGCCCAAAGTGGTTTACAGATTCAGTGCAATTCCTGTGAAAATACCAACATTATTTTTTCACAGAACTAAAAAATAATCCTAAATTTCATAAGGAACCAAAAAAGAACCTGAATAGCCAAAGCAATCCTCAGCAAAAAGAAATGTGGAGGCATCACATTACCTGATTTCAAATTATACTACAGGGCTATTGTAACTGTTATGCCCAGGAATCTCTCAAAGACCATACTGCAGACAAATCAAATTTAAAGAGGAGTCCTTTTATTGAAGAGCCAGTCGCTGACTACCTGAGTGTCTCAACATGGGGTTTCTGAGAGCAGCCCTGAGTGCTTAAGGGTTTGGGTTTTTAAGGCTTGGTCTGCATCCTGGTTGGCACACAAACTGCCCAGATGCAATCGGGTAGGTTAGCAAGCAAGCATTGTACAGAAGCAGAATTTTGTGGTCAGTTAGTCATACATTTTTGTTTCAGTACTTTCTCTACCTGGTATTTCTTAAAGGTCAGTCCAGGGGCAGTTGATGCTTCCCTGTCCGTTTCTCAGGGAGTTAGTCGAGCAAGAAATCAGTGAGTACTTTCCCATCTATCTTGGGAGTGAACCAGACATGCTCCATTTGGGGCTTGCAGCCCAGAAATTTGCCAGGAGTTAACTGGTATTTTTCTACCTTAGTTTAGACCTAATATTAACCAAGACATCTTGGTGCTGATATAAAAGTAGACACGTAGATCAATGGAACAGAATAATAAAACCAGAAATAAAACATATACCAACAACCAACTAATTTTTGACAAAGAAGACAAAAACATACACTGGGAGAAGTGGGAAAAGGATTCCTTATTCAATAAATGGTGCTGGGAATTGGAGAGCCACGTGCAGGAGAATGAAACTCAATCCTTATTTCTCACCATACATAAAAAATGAGTCAAGAAGGATCAAAGACTTAAATGTAAGACCTGATACCATAAAAATTCTAGAAGAAACTTAGGACTCTGCTGGACATTGACCTA